TGTATGGAGTAAACAGATTTTGAAAATAACATAACTTACTAAAACGATTAAAACTGCATACTTTATTTCCAAGGATTGCTTTTCCATTAGTATAACTTTGTAAAACTGTTACCAAATCTCTAAAAGTTTTTATAAATGGTAAACTCTTGAGCCATTTGTTTTATCTTTTCCTTAAAAACTTATATCGATGTGTTGTTTGAAAGTATATGAAATCAAATGATACAAAACATGAAAAATAAGATGAATATATACCCTACAAAATCGACAATTTTTATTTTTACAAAATCAACAAATTTTTTTACAAAATTATCAACAAATGTTTTTCATTAATCCCATTCCATTTTGTTATATTAATAATTGGACCCTTAAAAAAATATAATTCTTTACCTATATTTTTTTCTATATATTTTTGTTCATTTATATAAATATTATAGCCTCTGAGATATGATTTATATTTTAAAATAAAATTATAAATTTTTTTTTGATCAGTAATTTTCAACTCGTTATTCTTTGATAAATAGTCAACAATATAATTTTTAGAAAAAAATTTTTTTAAAAAATTTTCGTCGAATTGAAACAAATAAATTCCATTAAAATAACAATGAATTAAATTATTCCCATTCATCACCACCACCAATACAGATAGTTTTCCTAACAAATACGTATTTTTCATAAATTTCTGTATCTCGAGAATTTTCTTTTCTTGGTATTTTATCTTTTCATAAATCCCTCTTCAATAATATAACAGTGATAACAAATATACCATGATAAAATTATTGAAAAAAATAATGTAAAAGAAATGTTATAATCAAATCATCTACAAGCCGTCCATCAAATAAAATCTTTAATTCCTTGATATTTTCTTCCAATATCTTTATCCTGCTATTAAAATTTCCACTTTCGTTGAATGTATTTCGTTCAATTTAAGAAGAATACAACCAGATATAAGTAAAAGACAAATGTAGGAATCATCCATTTCTCCGTTCTTATTGCTCTTATTGCTCTTTATATAAACGCCCAAACATAAATTAAAATAATAAAAATAATACATAATATAAATAAAAAACAATTATAAATAGTATCACAATCATCTTGATTATTTTCCATTTTCATTCAATAATTTTTTTCTTTCTTCTTCTATCAATCTCTCTAATTCAATAATTTTATTTTCTTTATCTTTTATGATAATATCTTGCTCTTTAATCTTGTGGATAAGAGTTTCAATCTCTAAATTCAATTTTTCAACATCTAATTTTAAAGCAACCACTTCTTGAGATTTTTCCTCAATTGTATGCAAAAAAAATAAAATATATTTCCTATAAAATTGTTGTTTATTCACATCCGTCATCAATTGAATCGATAGTTATAAAATATTCATAAGGAAAATTTTTCAAAATAAATTCATAATAAAAATGATCATATTCCAAAACATCGATTCTTGCTTTATATGCTAGATTTAAAGTTATTAATTCACCAGTTTCTTTTTCTAATTTTTTTAATCTTGAGACTAATAAATGGTTTTGTTCTTGAACCCTTCCACATTTTTCTGCATCATATTCATAGTTTTGAATATAATGCAATTTTTTTCTTAAAATTTATTTTCATTTTGAATATCTTTACATAATTTTTTTAATGCAACAAGCGTAAAACTTTCGTTAACATCATCCATCTCAAATAAAAAATTATAATAAAATTTTCTTCTTAATACAGTTATGAGTATATATATGTATTAATCAACTACTAAGACATCGTCTTTGTCTTCAAGTTTTTTTTAGCAATGTTCTATTTATATCAAACAATTAATTTTTTTTTCACATAAAGATTTAATTACTATTTTCATTTTTTCAATAGTTAGAAATAATGTTTCTTCTCTTTCCACAAAATCTTTATTCTTTTCTTCAGCAATTCGAAGTCTTTCTTCTAAATCCTTTATCTTTTGTTCTGCGATATTTTTTTCCAACATGTAATTTGTGATTTGAACTTGATTATATAATTTTCAAGCGATATTTCAGCTATAATTTTTTATCTTTTCTCTTTCTTTAACAGCTTCAAAATATTCGTCAAAAAGTATTGATTAGTCTCACGAGATAAATAAAAAATTATTCATATAACGCATAATATTCTCACAAAACTCTCTTCATTATCCATATTTAAAATATTTTTATCTTCTCTAATAATTCCTTCACTGTATTTAAACCATGTCTTTTTTGTTTACAAATCCAAGCGTTCTCTTTATATATACCAGTATTGTCTATAGATTGCATACATATTTTAAAATAATCATATTGTTCATCATTTTATGGTAAATTCTATAAAAATATTCGTTGGTTAAAACACTGTCTACAAGTAAAAAGTTCTCATCCATTTTTGTTCATGTCTTCATTTGTTCGTTGATCTTTATACGTGGAATCAGAAAAACCAAAAGGTAGATAAATTTGATTTTTTTCATTTTTCATGAGTGTATTCACATACATTTGAGAATAACTTCCAATAATATTACAGAATTTTAAATCCTCTCCATGCCATTTTTTTAAATAATTATATAAATCAGATGAAACTAACAAATCGTTTAACAAATCGATATAACCATGAATTAATGAACATAAAGTAACTTCATTTTCTAACACCACTTCTTTTAAAATTTTTTCTCTCTCTTCTTCCTCGTAAGCTTTATTTATTCTTTCCAAAGTTTCAGGAGGGATAGATGCCATTGATATCTTTATATACAATATACAAACCAAAACTTCATACAACGATACTATTGATATGATTGAATAGTAAATTTCACAACAAATGTTTATAACAGCAACCAACCAAATAAATAAATACTTCGTTATCTACGTTTTTCTTTAAAACAAATCGTGTTCATTTTCTTCATATTTATTCAAATCGAAAACCACTTCTTCGTTTTTTTTCATTATACCATGGTGTATTTCTTAAATCATTGTACAATTGTTCATTTTTCAAAATATATCCAATAATCCGAATATAATCATGAATAGAAGAAACTAATTTCCCATTACAAACAATCATATCTTTTAGAAAATCTTTCTTTTTTTTTAGGTATTTTTTCCCATTCAGAAAGATATGTTTGTGCTCTTTTTAAATTTTGTTCCATATTATGTCAATAGAGTTAAAAGAAACAGTAAAAAGAAAACACACTTATATATAAAATAAAATGGGTAAAAATGAAATAGGTAAAATTTATGAATTTTTGACTGAATTTAACTGTAGTAAATGTATACATATTTTTTAGAAAATAATTATAAATATATAAGTGAATTATCTTTTAATGAATTTATTATTATTCATATAAATCATATTGAATACGAAAAAAAAATAAATAAAAAAAAATTCAAAAAAGAATTTAAAAAATGGAAAAAAGAAAAAAACACTTTATATTATCACAAAATTTTATAAAAGTGTAAACTTGCTATTTTTTATTCATTAGTAATAGACAGGGTATAAAAACTTAAGTAAAAATGTCTATTGCTAGCATAAACTATAATATATAGAGATCTATTTTATAACTATTGCTTTTCTTGTAAAGCGTGTCAAAATATAAAATTCATCTTAATTTATACTCATTTCCAAGTCAATTACAACGTATTCATTTACATGCTGACAATTGCACAGAAAACAAAGAAGAAAAAGAAGAATATTTTAAAAAGAAACTAGAAATAGTTGACGAAAATATAAAGAAACTGAATTCTAATAGAGAATAAATAAAATCACTATACCATATGATCACATCTTTAAACTACATAAAAATTACATTATAAATATTGTTTTAATTGTTCATTTTGTCAAACTCATAATATTAAATTT